ATAGAATCTCATTCTCTAATAAGTATCCGGTGAACTCATCAGAGAGGTATTCTCCACCTCGATCTGATCGAAGTGCCTTTATGGCTTTACCCAGTTACTTTTCCACATCAGCCCGAAACTCCTTGAATTTAACAAAAGTTTCACTTTTGTGGTGCAATAGGTACACATAACCATATCTTGAGTAATCGTCGATAAAAGTGACGTAATACTCATACCCTCCTCTTGCCTTGATGTTCATGGGACCACAAACATCACTGTGCACAAGTTCAAGAACATCTTCAGCCCTATTGCCTTTAGACCCAAATGGTCTTTTGGTCATTTTGCCCTCCAAACAAGATTCACATTGGGGTAAGGACTCAACCTTTAAAGAACTTAAAGGTCCATCCTTTACCAACCTCTGTATCCTGTTAAAGCTAATGTGACCAAGTCGCAAATGCCAAAGATATGTCTCATTAGAGTGAGAAGTTTTAAGCCTTTTAGAGTTATTAACAACTTCAGTGTTAGTGACTCCATCTTAGGTTTGATAAAATATAGATTATTTTGCATCCATCCATCACAGATAAAAGACTTGTTTTTACGAATCACAACTTTATTATTAAAAGAAACTGAATAAGAATCCTTAAATAAACAAGCAACAGAAATAAGATTCCTCTTAAATTGAGGAACATAAAAACAGTCTCGCAAAAATAAACTCCTATAACTATCAAAATAAAGATGGACGTCTCCCACTGCTTCAGCCAACACTAGTGTTCCAACGCCCATCCTCAACGTGAAGCTTTCATTTAGAAGACTTCTCGTTTGCTTGAACCCCTGCAGAGAAACACACACATGATTAGTTGCTCCAGAATCTATGACCCAGTTGTCACTGGATTCCTCAACCAGACATGCTTCCACAATCAAAAGATCACACTCACCTCCTTTGCCTTTAGCGGCTAGGTAGTCTTTGCAATTCTTCTTCATGTGCCCCACCTTCCCGCAATGAAAGCACTTAAGCTTGTTCGGGTTCTTCTTCTTCTTGTTCTTGCCCTTGTTTGGCGGAACTGAAGAACTCTCCTTCTTAGCTACTTGCTTCTTCTTTCCATTCCCTGAAGAGGGTTTGGAGGAAGATGCCTCAGCAAAGTTGGCCTCCACAATTGTCGACCCCTTGATCATCCGCTCAAACTTTTGGAGTTCTTGCATCAACTCTGTCAGGGTTATATTATGTCTAGCGCTCAAATTGAACGTTGCCCTAAACGGAATATACTCCTTCGACAAAGTCTCAAAGATCATGGTCAATTGAGACTCAGCATCGATGTC